ATAAGGCCGGATATAAGCATTATATACGCGCGGCAAAAGTACGCCGGCCGTTTAATTTCGGCTTTCCTCGCGCCGAAAATATTCGCGCTCGCCACACTTTCCGCCGCGGCATAGCTTAACATAGGTTAACAGGGATTCCTACGACGGCAGCCTGCCGGTGTCGGTTACCTAATTATAGTTGCACATAGAAATCTGTAAGGGGACACCGCGCGTGCATCCAAAAGAGAGAGAAAAGAGGGAGAACCGGGACCGTGCCTTATGTATTTGGCTTGTGCAATGAAAGCGCACACCGTGCGTGAGACACGCGGAAGACCGCGTTCGTGCGTGCGCCGCGTTTCCACGGATTTATTTTTCAGAGATGATTTAAGACCGTATCACATACACCACACACACAGACAAGGAGAGGAAGAAGATGGCGTGGAAGGTTCTTAATAAAGATTCAAGTTATTACACAATAATCCAAATCATATTAAAGATTCATCGATTTTTTAAGTTATTTATCAGATTATTGATCGTTTATAATTTTATTTTTATGATAATTATTTTATTTTATTTCAATGATGGATTTAATGAGCAATTCGAATTATCGAAACATCTATATATTTGTTTTACAATACTGCTATTAATTAGAATATATTTAAATTATATTACGTCGCGCAAAAACTAAATTAATAATAATTAATAATACGGAAATTAATAATACGCAAAATTAATTGTAAATATATATATATATATAACATTACAAACCGCGTTATCGCGAGTAATCGAAATATTCCCTTAATTAATACAGCGAAACGTGCATCTTAATATGTTTGAAGAAACTGAAAGCAAATGAATAGAGGAATGTGTGCGTAGATAATTGAGTTATTTGTGGCAATCCTTACAAATTCTAATTTGACGCGGATATGTAAAGTAGTACAGCGTTTTATCGAATGGAATCACCGACGCGACATTATTCCGGTAAAACGCTATTGAGATGAAGACCTATCACGATTAATCCGGACAGCAAAGTGTCTGCATTATTCAAGAGTCCCGAACAGAAGTAAAATTTACATTATTGATCACGACCCGAAAGTCATCTTCATAAGATACAGGGAAATGGCGACGACACCATTTCACGTTTAATCATTTGCGTCAAGAGGTCGGCGGATTTTAAAGAGAATTACGTTAGTGCAAAATATATATTGAACCCGATTGGAATTTTGAAATTAAATAATCATATAATTGAACAAGTATATTAATAATAAAAAGATTAATAATAACGAGACGATACTTTAAATATATTTTTAATTATATTGCAATTATACAAAATTATTATTTTTATTAATCTGAAATATCTCAAGATCGATAGGCGTTTAAAATATTTTTAATTCGCCGTTCATATATTGTGATTACGTAGAAATTTAATATTAAATTATTTCCAACATTGTGATTCGATCGAATGTAATTGCACGCAGAGTCGCTTGTTAACTCATTGACCGCGTTCATAGTCTACGCAGCGAGCTCGGTACCGTTCGTGGCTTTAATTCCAGAGTAAGAGCTCCGAGGATCGCGGATATACACATAGTGGTGGATACTCTTGCGAACGCACAGACCTTGCTTGTTTCCAACGATTCTGCCGTACACACGTGGAATTGGTATTCTCGGGGGTATACTTAGCGAGGGCATTACTATATAACGCGATTGCAACATTTTCGAGCACGAAAAGAGACAACGGCATGTGCAACACCCGAAGGCGCGTGCATTCTCGAGCGCGAGGCCGATACGATTCTGTTATTTGGACCACGATCTGATCGCCGAAGCATTTTATTTTTAATGGCTCATAATTAAAGCGTAAGCGGATTCTATTTATTACCGTAATTCGCGTTGTTGCGAGTATCTGCCGTCTTTATCTCACCGTGAAATGAACGTCGAGTCTTCAAATTTTCAAGGAGAAACGTCCGGCGAACTCCGATTGCGTGATCAATTATTTTTTATTAGTTTTTGAAATTACAATACTCTTACAATTCTTTTGTAAGAAAACGATGTATAATATATCAAAGTCACAATAATTGTTTTGGACTACAAATTCTCGAGCAAACAAGTGTCTTGAATATCTTCGGTGAAATTTAGATTATACGATATTTAACGTTCGATGAATTTCTTCGAAATAATTTAATAATAATTTAACTCGGATTTCAAGTGGTATCGAACTCACAAGATTACCATCGCTTTACAATCTGTTCAGGCGATCTCGCGAGTTTTACTTTCCTGCGAGCTGGTCATATGGCAAGGGTTGCGACTCGGCCTTATAACACGGCAGGAATACATATCACGTGCATCTGTCGCGCGACCCGAAAGAGAAAAAAATTCTCTTTCCCCTGGATCGCCTTCATAACGCTCGCTCTCGTTCGCTCACCACATTTGGGCAGAACATTTTCCGAGGACTCTCTGTACGATGCGTCTTTGAATCGCGGTAGTGTGTCATTCTAAAAATAGAGAGAAGTTGAAACGAGAGGGAAGCCAAAGACGAGAGAGTAGGAGAAGTGGCAGGATGAATAGAGGGGCGAGGGGATAGGAGAGTAGAGGCAGAAGAAGAGAGTGAGACAG